CGGACACAACATGTTTGTATGTGGTGCTGAGGATCGAACCCGGGCCGCATGCATGCCAGGCAAGCGTGCTACCGCTTGAGCCACATCCCCAGCCCCTTTATGAATCATCTTGACTGGGTCATGGGTACCCAGATAAACATTATGCTTTTTATCTGTGAGGATGTTGCTGGGTGAGTTTGACATTTAAGTCAGTAGGCTAAGTAAACCATATTTCCCTTCTCATTTGAGTTTCATCCAATCCATTAAAGACCCGAATAGAATAAAAGACTGAGTAAGGGATAATTCATTCTCTCTGCCTGATGACCATTTTTGGACTCAGACAAAAACTCAACAATTTCTGCTCTCCTGCTTCTCAGGCCTTCAGTCTTGGACTGGTTTACACTATCTGGTCTTTATCTTACCCATGGCACATCTTGGGATTTCTCAGCCTCCATGATCATGTAAGCCCATTAAAATAAATCCCTCTCTGTATCTAGATTTCCTGTTGTTCTGTTTCACTGCAGAACCTTAGATATATTTTTGTACTGAGAGTAAAGTGTTACTGTCACAAATATCTAAAATTGGGGCAGTGGATTTGGAACTGGGTATTGGATAAGAGGTACAAGGGTTTGGAGAACCATGCTAGAATAGATATTCTGGTGATATCTCAAATGGAAATGAAGAACATGTAATTAGAAGCTGGAAGAAAGACCATCTTTGTTATAAAGTGGCAAAAAACTTGAATGATCTGCATTTCTGTGTTTTGTGGAAGGTAGAACTTGCATGTGATAAAACTGGATAATTAGTTGTATAGACTTCTAAGTGAAGTGTTAAAGGAAGGCTTGGTTCCTCCTGAATGCTTAGAGTAAAATGTAAGGCAAGAGAGGTGAATTGAAGAAGGAATGTTAAGCAAAAAGGAGATAGACAAAAAATTTGGGAAATTCTCAGCTCATCCATATTGCAAAAATAAAACAGGTTGTTCTGAAAACCTGACGTGGCTGAACACCATTTGATAAGGAGATCATAGAGAGCCAGACATGGAGGCACATGCCTACAATCCCAGCTACTTCAAGAGACTAAGGCAGACGGATCTCAAGTTTGAGATCCTGGGCTACTGAGCAAGACCCTGTCTCAAATTTTAAAAAGAGGACTTGGGATATAGTTTAGTAGGAAAATGTCCCTAGGTTCAATTCCCATTATTAAAACAAACAAAAAAAAAAAGAAAGAAAAGAAAAGAAGAAAGAAATCATGAGTGTGGTTCCTGAATTTAAGCAGCCATTTCAACAGAAGCCAGAAATAGAGATAGAATTATTCTGGCAGACACATTGCCAATTTCAATTAGTGGGGACAGAGAAGGTATGACAGAATGGAGAAAGACTGTCATAATTCTTGGGTTTTGTTGGATTTATCCATAAAGCTATTCACTATGAACATGCATTGTTTTTCAAGGAAAGAGAAGGACCCCAAGAACACTCAGGACTGCCACTTCCATTACAGCAGGCCCTAGAGAGCAAGGCTGCCTTCACCCAACAGAGCAGCATAGGGAGAGCTGCCACAGAGATCCAAAGAGATGGGGCTACCCCTCCATGCCATAGGGATGGCGATTCCACTCCAGGGGGTCTGGAGGGTAGAACATCAAATGAAAGAGAATTATTCCAAAGCCTGAAAATCTAATGGTATTTGCCTCACTAAGTTTTGGACTTCAGAGGGATGTATCATCCCTTTCTTCTTTCCTATCTCCCATTTCATAGTGAAAATGTCTGTTTTATGCCTGTCTCGCCATCGTATTTTGGAAGCATAGATTGTTCTGGTTTCACAGGTCACAGCTAGAGAGGAATTTTGACCTGGGATGAATTATAATCCAGGTATCACTCAAATATAATTTAGGTGATGTTTAGATGAGACTTTGGACCTCGAACTTTTAGATTTGATGTTCCTGTGTGATGAAACAAATATGTATGAAGCACTGCTGCTATAAACTGAAGTACAATGGTTGTCTAAGAGAGGTAGTTAAGCCATTTTTTGAGAGGCAAACTGACTTAGGACATTTTTTATAGATCACCATTTTTACTTGAAAGAATGCCTGATAGACTAGAGTTATTCAGACATGGGTATTTGACAGGCATTTCCTTGAAAATGAATGAAGTAAGAGAGCCTGTTACAACTGAGCTGGGAAAGTAGCTTAGTAGTGGAATGCTTATTTAGCAAGCAAGAAGTCCTGGGTTCAGTCAATCCCCAGTATCTTAAAAAAAAAAAGTGTTGATTGCCAATGATAAAATTTGAACTTTCTAACAAAAATTAGAATTTGGAAAAGCTGTACCCAGCACCATGAGCTTGATAGTTCCTTTCTTTTTTATTTATTTCTTTCTTCCTTCTTTTCTTTCTTTTTTTAAAAAGTAGTAGATGAACACAATACCTTTATTTTATTTATATATATTTTTATGTGGTGCTGGGGATTAAACCCAGTGCCTCACACATGCTAGGCAAGTGCTCTGACACTGAGTCACAACCCCAGCCCTTGACAGTTTCTTAATGTTTTAAAACTTTTTGGATGAGATCTGTAGTCATATTAATAAAAAATAATTTTTATACTGCCTAGTAAAATGTGTCAACTTTTGAATATTTGTATGATGTATTAAAACAATTTTCAAATGATCAATGGATGATTTTAAGAACTCACCATGAGAGCTGGGGATATATCTCAGTTGGTAGAGTGCCTGCCTCACATGCTCAAGACCCTGTGTTCAATCCCCAGCACCACGTGCACGCACACACACACACACACACACACACACACACACACACACACACAGAATTCACTATGGATAAAAGATTCATTTAAAGTTCAAGGCAGATTTTAATGCACAGAATATAAAAAGATCATTGACATGGTTTCAGATTCCACAGTACAACAAATCTTTAGGAAATTACCACTTGAAACTTTTGGTAGTATCAAAGAATAGCCACAATGATAAAAAAAAAACTTAAAATACTCTTCTTGCCATCTATATATTGATGAGTCTATAAAAATGTGACGGTTTGGATCTGAAATGCCTCCTGTCAATCGCCCATGTGTTAGAAGCTTGGTTGATCCCTACTGTGTTGTTGAGAGCCACAGCCAAAGGGGCCCCAGCAAACTCCCAGTGCCAGTGAAGACAATGTAAAATGTTAAGAAAATTGTTTTCTTTTAGTGTCTTCTGGAATGTTACCTAATTTTTTCTTTAGTCATTATTGCCAGAATTCCTATCTTCATCCCAGTGCCGGTGAAGACAAAGATAAAACCAATCTACAGCTTCTGCAATAGCCATCACTGAACCGCTTGCAGAACTTGCCTGGACTATGTATCACTTGTATGCATTGTGAATTCACCTGTATGCACTGTGAACTATCTGTCGGTGCATCGACTTGTGGTAGTGTTGGGGTATTTTTGCTAATGATGTCATCGGTGGTACAATTTTCCCAAAAGGAGCCGTCAATTGGCTTGGTGTATCTTCCTCCCTTCTGCTTGTCAAGATCGTTCAGCTAAAACTTGGGGGTCAACAGAGGTGAGGCAAAGAACCTCACCACCACCACCACCACCACCACCCCTCCCCCCGCTGGTACCTCTCCACAGGTGTGGCTGTATACTGGACCGGTAGTCAATGACGGGTAAGATCCAATTACAATGGTACCAACCTAAGATAGGAGGCTGACGCCCTGAGGTCAGCTCATCCAATGACGGGTAAGGACCATATGTAGTATTGGACAAAACTAAGGCAGGCAGGGTCCCTAAGCCACATGCTTGTTGTTTAAACAGAGAGGGGGAGATGTTGAGAGCCACAGCCAAAGGGGCCCCAGCAAACTTCCAGCTGCCAGCAAACTTCCAGCTGCCGGCTGATGATTGGCTCACAGCGGCCCTAGCAACATCTAGCTGATTGGCTCCTCTGAGGTGATGCTCATTGGGCTGTTTCCCTGCCCTTTCAGACCACGGAGCTGCTCATTGGGGGACTTCTTTGGCTCCGCCCACACGACCCAGTCAATCGGCCTCAAGAGCAGGAGGATTGTGGGAGGTGGAGAGGCTGGTGTTGGTGGGAGAGGCTTGTGGGAAGCCGGTGGTGGCAGTTGGGCTCTGAGAGTTTTTTCCTGAGGAGCTGTTTTGTTTGGCATGTGTAGTTCAGAAAAATAAAGTTAGTTTCTTTTGACAAGTGGCTCCTGAATTGTGCCCAGCCAGACTGCAGCACTGTGTCATTGTTAGAAGGTGGTGGAACCTTGAAGAGACAGGGAGTAGTTGGAGGATGTGGGTAATTGGGGGCAAGCCCTTGAAGGAGATATTGGAACCCTAGCCCCTTCTTATCTCTCTTTTTGCCTCTCAGCTACCATGAGAACAGGCCTCCTCTGGCATGTGCTCCACAGTGATGTACTGTAGGCCCAAAACAATAAGGCCAAGTGACCATCTACTAAAACCTCTGAAATTGCAAGCCAAAATAAACCTTTCCTTATTTTCAGTTGATCATCTCAGGTATTTTGTCACAGTAACAGAAAGCTGACTAATGCAATAGATTTTTTTCAATACTTAAACCACACATTGCAACAGACTGAATAAAGAAGCAGACATGAGACTCCAACTTTTAGTAAGTTACACATAAAAGAATTTTAATTTTGTAATATAATACAAGGTCAGTTCTTTTTGCTAAATGTTTTTCTGTTTTGGAAAACATAGGGTTCCTTTTCTTTTCTTTCTTTCTCTCTTTCCCCCCGCCCCTGCCCCAGTACTGGGGATTGAACCCAGTTGCACTCTACTATTGAGCTGCATCCTAAGCTTCCACCCACTTTTTGAGACTAGATCTTGTTAAGTTGCTGAGGCTGGCCTTGTACTTATAATCTTCCTACCTCAGCCTCTGGAGTAGCTAGGATATAGGTATGTACCATATAATAACCATGACAAGATTATTTATTTTTAAAATTTTTGGCGGTTTGGTGGAGACCCCGGACAGTGGGAGTCTCAGGCCCAGAGCCCCAGCCAGATTGGAGGAGCCGGGGTGGGACTTCCGGCGCGGCCGGCGCCCAGTGTCCGGTGTCCCTTGGGCCGCTGCTGGCGCGTGAGACGGGTTGCGGTGCCCTTCGTCTGTGCGGCTGGGTTGGCTCTTGACGACCGCACGCGGAGTGGGGGGAATGAATGATGGCAGTTCGCCGTGCATTAAAAGCTGTTTTGGTAGACCTCAATGGCACACTTCACATTGAAGATGCAGCTGTGCCAGGCGCACAGGAAGCTCTTAAAAGGTTACGCAGTTCTTCTGTAATTGTTAGGTTTGTGACCAATACAACCAAAGAAAGCAAGCAAGATCTTTTGGAAAGGTTGAAAAAACTGGAGTTTGATATTTCTGAAGATGAAATATTCACGTCTCTGACTGCAGCCAGAAGTCTAGTAGAGCAGAAGCAAGTCAGGCCCATGCTGCTGGTTGATGATCGGGCATTACCTGATTTCAAAGGAATACAAACAAATGATCCTAATGCTGTGGTCATAGGACTGGCACCAGAACATTTTCATTATCAAACTCTGAACCAAGCATTCCGGTTACTCCTGGATGGAGCGCCTCTGATAGCGATCCACAAAGCCAGGTATTACAAGAGAAAAGATGGCTTAGCCCTGGGGCCTGGACCCTTTGTGACTGCTTTAGAGTATGCCACTGACACCAGCGCCATAGTAGTGGGGAAACCAGAAAAGACGTTCTTTTTGGAAGCATTGCGGGGCACTGGCTGTGAACCTGAAGAGGCTGTCATGATAGGAGATGATTGCAGGGATGATGTTGGCGGGGCTCAAAATGCTGGCATGCTGGGCATTTTAGTAAAAACTGGGAAATACCGAGCAGCAGATGAAGAAAAAATTAGTCCACCTCCCTACCTAACTTGTGAGAGTTTCTCTCATGCCGTGGACCACATTCTGCAGCATCTCCTGTGAACCCTCCTGTGAATGTGAAGCAACTTGACACACAGCTTTCATTGTCTGGAATGGATCCCTTACCAACTTGGTGCAGCATCAGTAGCCACGAACCATTCAGAGCTGATTATGCTTTAACCCTCTTTTATTGTGCATTAATTAGAAAGAAAGGTATTGAATTGCATCCAGCTACTAAGCCTTGCTAATCTCTTTTGTTTTATTTTGTAAAAGAAGATGAGACCCGAAGAAAAGAAAAGCTGAGATTTTATGCCATTCCCTCTAAAATATTCATCAGGTTCGCAGGGCTGGGAGAGAGAAGCTCCAATGGGGAATGGTGTTCTCTGCTGTCTCCTGCTGGAAATCGGGAGGGGGATTCAGACTGTGAATAAAGATGAATGGTGGTTTGTAAATTATAAAGTGATGCGTTGAAAGGTGCATTAGCCTCATGTTTTGAAATTGAGTTCAACTGTGAGACCTAGCCAAAGAGCCAAGTGGAGTACAAGACAGAGGCAGCAAAATGAATTGTCCTTCAGACTGTCGAGTGAATTTACTTTAACAGATGTTGAAAACTAGATTTTCTGTTGAATTCCCAGCATGGGTGACTTCCTTTCTCTTCATTAGCCAGAGATGACTAATTTAAATTTAGAACCTGATTTTAATTTAAAATAATATTTCCATTAATAACCTATTCATTGCAGATACCTATTATACTGTGTAACAGTTGTTTTGGAAATTTTATGTAAAATTAAAACTATCAGTATTTTACAGATGTTTTAATTAGACATTGTTATTAACAGGAACAGTGCAGAAACTAAAATCAAGCCTTTAATGTCTTATAGACCATGCATTTTTGAAGTTAGTGTCCACCAGGGTCCTATTAACTGTACATTTGCAAGATTTCATTATTTTTGCCTCTGACACTATGGGAAAAATCTTTTAGAAGCTATTGGGACAGATTCAAGCTTTTATGTACTTGGTTACTACAGCTGTAAAATGAAATCTCGTCTTGTAGCATGGATTATTCTTCTCATGTTAAACCCACCCAAATGAAGGGGACTAAGTAGGTAATGATTTTCCTAGTGCATTTGCATACTGTGATAATCCTGGGCCTTTGCAATTGTTTTACAGGGCTCTTGGGCATTGAATTATTAGAATGTAATTGTACATCATTGTAGTGTTCACCTTATTGAAGTGCACGCTGATGTTAATGAGCTTCGGGTTTTGATGCTTGTTTAGAGATCAGCTCGGTCTTGGATGGGAGGGAGCAAAGTTAAATAAATGATAATTGGGAAAAAAAATAAAATAAAATAAAATTTTTAATATGTTATTTTTACTAAATATATAATATGTTTGTTATTGTCATGGTCAACCTATGTGGGTACGTGGATCCCCAATCAATATTTTGTTGGGCATTGAGACTGATAGTATCACATTCCACCCAGAGTATATGGAGAGATTTATTATTTATAATGAGGCTTTATAAGGAGAGCAGGGCAGCCTGCCAAGGAGGTCTATCAATGGCTGGAGAAAGCAGTTAGGGGAGACTGGCTTGGAGTTTAAAGGGTGGGACTGGGACAAGGGTTCCCTCATGTTGGCTGGGGTTTGTGTGGTCTGAACTTGTCAGTGCCAGAAGAGAGAGCATGTGAGCTTTCTTCTCAGTTTGCCCAGATATGAATCCAGTGGGAAAGGAGAAGGGGTAAAAAGAAATCAATCCCTCCAATGTAAAGAATGGTGTCAGCTATTAAAATTCCCCCTGATGTCTGATGACTAAAATATTCCAGGTATCATTTAATTGAATTTGAACTTGTGACAAGTAAGCCATTACAGGCTCTATGAAGACGATAGCATGAGGCTGTTAAAAGGAGGTGAGAGTTGTGTTGAGTGCCTTACTGAAGAACCCAGCATCAAATTTTTAGTGAAGTGGAATGTGTGCCTTCATCACTACCAATGATGTCTGGAACTTCAGAGGGGATAAGAAGTACCTTGATGAGCCTTCATACCGTGGTTTTGGTAAGTGTGGACACCTGAGTGATCTTGATTTATATTTTAGGTATCTCTGAGGCAAGATTCCCAGGGTTCTTTACCCCACATGGTACATTCTTGGATAAAGAGTTGTTGTTGCCATTGGCTGACCCAGATGGCCAGTTCCTTGGAAATAAATAACCCATGTGCCTGTAAAAATGTGCAGATAGGGTTGATTTTTCTCCAGAGGCCAGTGTTCATATGACTGCCTCAAGTCCAGACCATGTGATGACCTTTAGATCCCATCCTTGGTTAGGAATGTCCCAGCAAAGGGTTGAAAACCAGCAGTCCTCCAGCAGCTCCATCAGGCCCAATGTCTGCCAGGCTGTCCAGGAGTGTTCAGACATCCACCGCTGTTTTCACTCTGTAAATCTTGAGGGACTCTGAAGGTATCCAAGGGGTTTTTAGAGGGTGATCTCTTGCAGCATGATGGTATCTGGCAAAAGCTGAGACAAGACCCAGGGCTACTTTAAAGAGGGCCTCGGTCTCATTCTCCAGGCCTTAAACATCAATTATTGAAACTTACAAATTAGGTTGGTTATACCTGTGACAGAGGCTTGGTGGAACTCAGCAAAGGCAGCTAGAGCAGCAGGGATCAAAGTGCAAGCTCTCCTGCAGGCAGCAGCCCAACTCAAAGAGTCCTAGCCAGCAGGCAGCAGATCAAATGCATGTGTCAGCAGGCCATGGAGCCAATCAGCAGGCCAGAGCAAGAGAAGCAGGACCCTTTGTTGTCACCACTCTGCTTGCTGGGCCAATTGTTGGACTCACATCCTGCCTCCTTGGGTGACTTCAGAGTTATTTCTACAAAAATTAAATTTTTTTTTAAATTCTCAATTTTAATTTCAAATACAGTAAATATCACTAGATACATCTCACATAAACAAAAATTTTGCCTGGGTGGGGGGCATGTCCTAGGTATGTTTTAAGAGAATGAAAAGATCCTAAGACCAAAGAGTTTGAGAAACACTGACATATATTTATAAAACTGAAACAAAGGCACATGTGACAATGGTTATCCTTCTATCACGGGATGCACCCTGACGTTTTCCTCTCTTTTCCATTATATTTCAACCTCTTAAAAATGCTGGTTATGAGCACCAAAGGTTCACTAGCTGCAGCTTAAGACACTCAACCAAAGCATGAGGGTAGTATAATGTAATGTGGGGTCAGTTTTAATTTAACTTAAATATTGTTATTTAAATAACAAAAGTTTCTAAAGTCACATGAACTCTTTAGGATTGTATTCTCACTTCTAAACAGAGCTGAATTTGCCATAAAGTTAATGAAGCTCAGCCTTCACCATCTCTCACTTGTACAGGCTTCTAGAACCTTAGAACTATTTTTGTTTTTTTGGCTGGTTTGCATACCACTTGGGTTTTTTTCCTCCTCCTCCTCCCCCTCCTCCTCCTCCTCCTTCTTCTTCAGGATGGTCATGCAATGTGTATAAGCTTCAAGTTTCACAAAACCTTGATCCATACCTGATTCTAAACCATATTTCTTTTCCAGTATTTAAGCTGGGATGTTTTAAAATAATAAACTTTTTCTTGTCTAATTAGAAACAATGGTAGCAATTGGAAAAAAAGCCACTGTCATTAGGTCCCTTTTGGTGTCAAGGAAAGAAACCCACCTGAGTTAGTTATCTCAAGGAAAGGGAGTTGACCCTAAGGATACATGTGTACCGACACCAGGGAATCATCTGAAACAGTCTGTCCCTTTCTCCTGTAGTGGCCACATGATCTCTTGTCATGGTCTGCCTGCTTCTTGCTTGTGGGTCTGTCCACTCTTCCCTCTACAGTAAAGACTGTGAATCAGGGCTCTGTTTTGCCTCCACTTTGTAGGGTTGGCAATGAGCCCTTACCAGCTCTCATAGCTAATTGACTTTGTGTCTATTTACTAAGTGACAAATCCCTGAATGAGGAATCAGATGAACATAGATGAGTTTTCAAACCAGGTCACATCGGAGAGTGCTGGGCAACCTGATGCGTGTCACCCTTGGCTCAAATGCCCAAAAAGCCATAGTGGGGAGTGTGGGGGACAGAGTGGGATACAAACCTTGGTCAATCAGGCAAGAGCTGGGCCATGGGTAGGGAGGGGAAAGTCTTCCTGCAGCAGTGGCTGGGTGTCTCTCTACATGCCAGGCATCCTGCCCACCTCTGGTCACTGCTAAAGGTCGTAGAGAGTGACCACATGAATTGGGGGAGCAGAAATGTGAAATCTCAGGGATGCTACTTACATGAAAGCATAGTGCATTCATTTGGTATTGCTCTTATCTTTGGGTTTTGTTGAGTGAATTTTTTAAAGTGAAGTGCACACAAAAAGTGAGAAACTCTTGGTTTGGACAGGAGGCTTCATGTACCTTCCAGCCCTGGCATTTCTACAGATCTGGGACTCCTAGAGATGCTCTAGCATTTTCTTTTTGCCCTTCCCTTAGTGCTCAGAAATTGAGACTTTTTAAAAAGATGTCCCATGTGTCATTTTAATACCTTGTCTTTTTTCTTCTTGAGCCAAGAGAAATGTTTTAAAGGAAAAATACTGGACCATGCTGTTTTAACCATATATATCATTTGTAAGAGTCAAGAGATAAAAGAATGAGTGTTATTGTGTTTATGTAACATAGATTTTCTCCAATTAAATTTATCTAGATAATTGCTCTCAATCTGCAAAATACAGCTTTCTAAAAACTTTAGTTTTTGTAGTGTTTTGATAATGATTTGAGTTGGAAGCATTTTAAATAACTACTTTTTTTGTTGTTGTCATTTAAAATGGAAAGTTTATTTGTTCAGTACACTAAACAGGATGCAAGGACCATCGTGACAAATATACAGAAATATGCAGATCAACATAAAACAATAATTTAGTTTAAATGAAGGGAAATATTTGTATATTATGACAACATACCCCCAAGAAGACTTTTTTGTTAAATTAATTATACACTTCAATAAAATAAAGGATAATGAATTAAGTAACATCAGCCTGTTAATTTTTTATAAAAATAAAACTCCAGCTCTTATTAATCCATGCCAATTAAAAACTATAACATTAGTAAACAAGCACAGAGAAGATGCAGTCAATTACCTTTCTTGCTTGAACAGTACAGAGGAAAATGGTTATTACAAATGCAGCAGGCATACTGTTAGGCTGAACAATCTAGAACATAGTACACTAAATTTCAGTCTCAA